AGAGGTAGAAAGTTGATAGGCTTTGAACCGTGCAAGATGAAGTTGCTAGAATTCATCTTCAAAAATCCAAGTGACATCTTCATCAGAACGACCTTCCTAATGAACCAAGTAACAACAGAGGGGCACCTTAGAGGTAAAAGACCATTGGATCATCAATAATGGTCTCAATTTCTGAGACAGACGGCAACAGCAGAATTGGCACTTGTGAAAGCTGAGTGCCTGTAGAATCATCAGCAAGCAAAGGGGGAGGTTCAAAAGTTCCTCGATAAGGCATAAGATCCTCCACATTAAAAAATGCACCTATGGCCATAATAGGAAGTAATTTTAAAAAATACACATTAGATCTTAATTTCTTTGCTATACAAAAAAATCCAGAAGCTCAAGCATGCAACTTTTTAAAGACATGTTTAGGGTAACATTCTGGACGAATTTGAACCATAACATAATCACCTATGTTAAACTTTGAAATAGGCAATGAGCATTAGCAAATAATTTATATTAATCATTATTCATTGCTAATTTGCGCCTACTTTCAGCACGTAATTCATGAAGGTGGTAGGCAAAAGATTCACTAGATTCCGAAGTGCAAAATGTCAAAGAGATTGGCATAAGATCAATAAGCTATTTAGGATTAAAACCATGAACAATCTAGAAGGGACTCATGTCTGTAGACCTATTCACCAAATTATTATACGCAAACTCAACAATGGGTAGAACCAAATCTCAATTCTTTGGCTTGTCTCCAATTAAACTTCTAAGCAAATTACCTAAATTTTGGATAGCAACTTCAATTTGCCCATCTATCTGGGGTGAAAAGCAGAAGAGAACTTTAGCTAGGTACCAAAATGTTTCCGTGGGGTCTTCTAAAAGTAGCTAACAAACTCGACATCCCTATCGGATACAACAGCAATAACCCATGTAAAAGTACAACCTCCTTAAAGGACAACTTCACCCAATAAGAAGCGTTTGTAGCCTTGCTATAAGGAATAAAATGAGTCATCTTGAAAAATCTACCCACAACAACCAATACAAAATCATGACCTCTAGTTATTCAAGGCAATCCAAGACAAAGTCCATACTCAAGTCTTTTCAAAGTGCCTCCAGGATCAGCAAAGGAGTGCACCAATCAATATTGTATCTTCTGACTTCAAAATTTTGATAAGTTCAACATCGAGAAACTATGCGAGCCATATAACGCTTGAGTGATGGCCAATTGAATCTGTCATCAACTAATGCCATAGTCTTATTAACCCCAAAATAATCAGCTAAACCTCCTGCATGTAATTCTCATAATCTCACATCATGGGATGCACAGCTTGCTTCCACGGAAGAGATGACTGTCCTCAAGGATGAAATCAACATGAGCGTGATGGCTACCATTATTAACTTCCTGGAATATTACCCCAAAATTAGGACATGATATATATTTCTCCTTTAGGTTGTCAAAGTCAACTATACTAACACTTACGGTGTGCAACAAGTTGATCCATCGGCTTAGGGCATCAGCTACTTTGTTTTCTATTCCTAAACAATGCTTGACAACAAAAGTAAACCCTTACATATACTCAAGCCACTTAACATGTTTAGAACTTAGGTGCCATTGAGAGCTGATAAATCTAAGCGTCTAGTGAACAAAGTAAAGAAAAGTAGGTAATATTTCTAATGCCCCAAGGATCTCACAATCACATAAAACTCTTTATCATAAGTGAAGTATTTTGCTTAGCAACGTTGAGCTTTTCACTAAAGAATGACACTGGATGACCATTTTGGCTCAAAAAGCCACCAATTCCTCTCCCAAATGCTTCACAAGAAACCTCAAAATACTTTGTAAAATCTAAAAAAGACAAGCCTGGAGCTTCAAAAAGCTTTTTCTTGATATCTTGAAAAGCTAATGATGCTGCAAAGGTCCACTTGAACTTGTCTTGTTTCAAACAATTAGTTATAAGAACCATAATGGTATTGAAGTTTCTAATGAACCATTTCTAAAAAGAAGTAAGGCTATGTATTGGATAAGGGCCTAAGGTGCCATAGGCCCATATCAAGATTAGACCTATTTTTTTATTTAAATAAGATCTACGATCTATTATTAATATCTGATTTTATCTCTTATCAGCATCTGATTTGATTTGCCAAGATTATAGGAGAGATATTAATGATTTGTATAGATTCTCTTCCTCTCATCTCTTCTATATATGTAAACGCTTCTTATGAATAAAATATTAATGTTGTTCTAACCTAATTATAACATGGCATCAGAGCTTTGGTCTGTGATCAATGGCATATAAGGCAACTCTAACAAACCAGCCGCGAGTCTTCACCACAGGCGACGGCACAATATCGTCAGCCAATGAAGGCTCACAAGGTATTGGTTTGAATGCACACAGCATGAACTCTCCCTTTAGGAAGTTGAGTTCAAGGAACGATTCGTTCTCGCAAGCTGTGATCATTTATCCTCTCAATGGCAACAACTACCTCCAATGGTCACGACATATTTTAATGTTTGTTCGAGGAAAGAATCGCAAGAAATACCTCACAGAGAGTCCTCTAGCAATTACAGTTGCAAAGTTTGAGTCCTGGTGAGCAGAAAACAATATGGTTATGGCCTGGCTCATGAATTCTATGACTCTTGAGATTGGTGAAAAATACCACTGGCAACTACAGCCAAAGAAACATGGGAATCTGCAAAGCACACCTACTCAATCAAGGAGAACACAGCTGCCATTTTTCAAGTGAAGCGATTGCTTCGGAATCTCTTGGAAGAAGAGCAAGCTATCACTCAATATTACAGTGCTCTCATGAGGCTATGGCAACAAATTGATATTTACGAGGTCCATGAATGGACTTATCAAAAAGATGGGGAGCACTATAGAAAGATCGCTGATCGAGAAAGGTGCTATGAGTTCCTACTTGGACTCAATGACTCCTTTGAAGATGTTCAAGGACATATAATGGGCATGAGGCCTCTTCCATCATTAGAAGATGCCTTTAACATGCTCAAATGTGAAGAAAGTCAAAAGACTTTGACTCAGGGACATTCTACGCCTTCTTCTACTTCACTCGAAGGTTCTGCACTTGCTGTCAAAGGAAATCAAGGAGATATGAAGGGTAAGAAGTCTGGAAGGTGTGATCACTGCTATAAAAATAGGCACACTTGAGAAACCTGCTGGAAGCTACATGGCAAGCCTCAAAATTGATTGATGGGAAAAATTAAAATTACATGAATTCTTTATTGTTTGATCAATTTTGCAAAACACTCAACGCTCTAAGAAACAATTTGATATTACTTTTAAGCCCTAGCAACTTTGTCAAATGCTGATTCAAAAATCAACAACTTTTTTACTCTCGAGCATAACAATTGATCAAACAAATGTAGGAACATAATCTCTATTTTTACCAGCGACACATCAAACCAAGGACAAATTCTCAATCATAGACGAGCCTATATGACAATCAATGGGGAGCAAATGAAGTCTTTGAATATGCATAGTTGATATGATGCCCTTGTAAGTTTTATTCTAGATTTATTCCTGCTAGTTAATACACATAGTCTTTGAAATATGCATAGTTGATGTTGTGTGCAATTCTGTGATCGGCTTGCCAGTCCAAATGGAGAATCAATAGTTGAATGTGGAAGCTTATCTTCCATTCCAAAAATTTCCTTCACCATTGGTGGCAAGTTGTTTGGCCTATCACTGAGCCAGGTATTGTGACTTTCAAACCCTTGCATTTGGCATACAACATAATTTCTGCTATGACTAATGGGACATTTTTTATGAATCAGTATGTTCTGCAAGTGGCAGATGAAGAGGCAGCACAATGCATTAGTGGATTTAAAGCTTTATATATAGCCCCTTCTCAAGGACCTCTACGGTACTATCGTGACTTCTTAATCACATAGATTTTAGCTTCTATTTAACATTCTGTTCTGAATGTGGATTCTACTTTTCTCCTCACTAAACAATAAGATGCTTAGGTTAAGCCTTAAACTCAGTCATGTTGATTCTGAAATGTAGGATTCTTGGGGATATTTTCAGGGGTCACTACCACACAATGTTTGATTATGGGAATAACAGAGTTGGATTTGCTGAGCCAGCATAAGAGGCTTGTGATATATGTAGGGTAGAAAAAGATAATACCTCACCTCAAGTAGTGTGAAATATAAGCTTCAGCCTTCAACATGATACCTAATTGAATGTACAATAAGGACTTTTAAGGAATAGTATCTTGCTTAATTTGCCCTAATTCTTAAATTATACACACAATGCTTCGGCAATCTGATATCTATTGGCGTTGTGACAAACTCTTATGGTACTTAAATGATGTCTTAGATTAAACAGTATTATATACAGGGAGAATATTAACCATAAGTAATTGTAGCCTCCATGCGAAAACCAACCACACAAATTCTTAAGTGATTGATATGCTCACATTTCTAACACAAACAAACTCGCATCCCACATCTATTAACGCAAAGGTAAAGTGCAAGGGAGTGCAGGGAATGGGGAGTATTGGCACTTTCTTATCTTCGTTTTCCTTTTCATTTATCAGGAATCTAATCTAATCCCAACACGAGCAGAGATTTATAGAGAAGAAATTGAACCCAAAAAACACAATTAAAAGCCTATGCGACTCTGTGGCGGTGCAAAACAGAAGTAGAAATTCAACACCAGAACGGGTGGGTACCTGTGCGATAAGGAAGAAGAGATTGGGTGAGTCGCGACTTCGTTATCAGTGGGACTTGGAGCTAGAAATGGAAGCCGTAACTATAGAGGAGGAAGAAACGAATTTCGGTACTTACAATGATAAACACTCGTCCATTTATGATCTTCCAATTAATAAAAATGGAAAACTTTAAAACAAAGCGAGGAAAAAAAAAAACGGTTCGACAGCGTCCAACGCAGGGTTCACAATGAATCGATGACGCGGGGAACAAAATGTTAATTCAAAGCCATATTGAACAATCAATCTCACCGGATTTTGTTAGAAGAATAGGTTCGTACCTTCTTTAATACTTGCCGGAGAACGACCACGCCGGACAGCGTCCGACGACGAGCTCGACCAAGTGCGGAATGCCGAAAACAAAAAATGAATTGCTCTTGGTAGTTTGGTAATCGCCTACTCCGACGAGAAAGGGGTGAGTTTTGTTAGGGATACGTGAGATTTACGGACCCAGAGAAAACGACAATAAAATATGCCAAATGAGCAAATGATAAAAAGTGTGTTTGGATTTTAATTAAAAAAATTATCATGTTTGAATAATATCTTATAAATTTGATTTTGATAAAATTAAATACATTTAAAAAATTTTAGAATTAATTTTAATTATTTAATTATAATAAAAGGTATTCATTTTGATAATGTAATATTGATAAAACTATTAATCCATGTACAAAATAAATCAAGGAATCTAACTTAAAATAAATTGAATAAAAAAATATAAATATAATTTTTTAATGATAATATGAAAATAAGTATGTGATGAAGATATTAAAGAATCATTTTACTATTGCTTTTTTTTTTTGAATTGGTTATGTCTATTATATTAATATATTGATTTAATAAAAATATTTTTTATTAAAAAGATAAAAGATGTCCTTTTATATAAGGATTAATTTGCTTCTACAAAAAGCGTCTCTCCTCTAGCCATCCATTGGCCGGCTCTATCTTGACACTGTTTTTAGCAATGTTTTCAAAATCAGACGAGATATTGAACCGAAAAAGTCAACGATTCACAGTCCGTATGGTTCAACCGAGTTGGATCAATGGTCCAACCGATAACGTAATAATTAAATTAAAAAAATATATATATGTATATAATAATTTAAATATAAGAAATACATATGAAATTACTATTTAACTTTAAAAAATCAAATATTTTAAGTTTATCATAACTTAACAAGCCACATGATACAACACAATATCAAATAATTAAAAAAATTAGTTATTTTTAAAAAAAATTGATAAAAAATAAAAAAAAAGTTTTTTTGAACAGTCTGATTTTTAAAACCCGGATCCAGTTCCCGACTTGATTCCAGTTTCTAGTTCGACCGCCAATTTGAAACAGCTCAACTCAGCTCAACTCTTAAAATGACTTTTTTCTATAAACCAAGCCGATCGACAGTCGGACCGATTACCATTCGGTCCAATTTGGTTTTTAAAACACTGATTTTTGGTTAAATCTTGACCTGTTTGTGAAAACTCGCCTTTCACTGGAGGAGGAGACATGAGCAAACTGGCTCTTACAGGCCAGTTTGAAATTGACAAGAAGTTCTTGTGAGCAAACAAGAAAATGTTCTCTTCTTTCGACTATTCCCTCTCATCTATACCATCGAAGTAGCTGAAGGAACTTGACAAAGCTCGTCGACTGAAGCTGTGCTGATAGAGAAGTTGGAAGAGTCAAACAAGAGGAAGGAGAGATCAAGAACTAGAGGAAGCTTTTTAAATTCAAGAGGGTAAATGGAGAAAACATATGGAAAATTGCTCGATGCCAAAATCAACTCCATTGGAGGAAGATTAAGCCAATGTGAAATGGAGTTTTGGGAGTGAAACGAAGTTTGAGAAAATGGGGCATTTGGATAAAAATGTTCAACACTATGATTTTGGTCTCCATAATTAATTTTAGAGAGTATCAAAACAAGTCAAAATAGGTACTATGAAATATAATAATTATTTTATAGTTTAAATAAACTTGTTTCTCATTTTAAATTTTTGAGAAATGATATATTTGCCTCTGGAAGAAACAACCTCAGCTAGGAAAGACAAATTTTCTTTTATCCCAACCATCAAAATCTCTAAAATTCATTGAAGCAATCAAAGTTCATATAATGAAGTGAATAAAATCTTTGTCCCCCTTCTTTGTCCATTACAATTCAAATTCTAAGTTCTTGAATCTCAAACCACCAAAATAGGAAAGGAGTTCATCAGAAAGTCTATTGCAATAGTGAATACGACAGTAGTGTAGAAGATGCTGGCAACAAATCTCTAGTTTAATGTGTATAAGTTGTACGACATGAATTGTTCTAGCTGCTAGTAAGTCCTTACAAGTCAACAATGTTAGGTGGAACCAAGTTGGATCAATTTGTTAGTGATGTGTCAACATTCACAATAGAGATTACATCGATGACAAAGGTGAAGGTGGTGCCAGTGTGATGAAGAGGTACAAGGAAAGAGGAACTTGAGAGAAGGTGTGAAGTGTGGATTAATCTTAGCCTTAAGTGGATTTGAGAACATGAGAGTAGGTGCTAAAGGTATATGAGGGATGTAGATGCTAGCAGAAGCAGCCAGTCCATTTTTGAACCTTAATTGCAAAAGGTATTCAAAGGATTTGTTTGGACATTTTGATATTGGGTTCAAAGAAAATTCTTTAACTGAGGTTATTTCTAGCAAGGGCAAATATGTCATTGCTCAAAAATTCAAAATGACATACAAGTTTCTTGAGACTAGAAAATAATTATCACATTTCGTGATACTTATTTATTATTTGCCTATTTTGGAGGTTTTTTATTATCTTTCTTCCTAAATTAATTCAGCATTATTTTTGTTTTAATATTTTTAGATTCCATTTTCATATAAAACTTATGACTTTTGGGTACTTAATCATCATTTTGTTCTTTTATTGTTTGAATAAACAAAGTTAAACTTTTTCTTTTTACCTTAATTGAGATAGAGCTTTTTTATTTCACCTTCTAGTAGAGGTAGTTAACTTTTTCTTTTCTTTACATCATGGAGATAAACTTAAGATCTCATGTTGCAGGGTTGAAGGTAATTCATCCTTTCTAAGCCTGACCTTTATTGAAAAGAGTCGGATAATTTTTTTAAAATCTTTAAAAATTTAAATTTTTAATTATGTTAATACATATATAAATTCTAAAGGACGTGAATTAAGAGTTAAAAGGACATTGATAAGTTTCAAAATAAAACTAAAATAATATAGTTTTTAAATAAAATATACAAATTTTTATTAAAATTTTAATCATTATATTATACAATTTTAACCAATTGTGTTATTTTCACATGTTAATTCAAAAATTAAAATAAATTAAACAATTTAAACTATGTTATTTTGCAAATATAACAATTCGGGTTCAAGTATAAACCTACCCCTTAAAGTTTTTCTTGAGGTACGATTAGTATCCTTAAGTATTTTTAGGTGCAATGTTCTCTCTGATGTAATTAAAATGTTTCAATTTTAACCTAACCTAATAGACTAAGGACATCAGCTATTAGTTGACTTATTTACGCTTATAAGGCATCCATATCACCTTTATTTTTTTTAGATTATCACAACTGAGGTGGAAAATACATGATTAAGGAAATAATAATAAAAATAAATATAGGTCCCACCTTCCTTCAACCTCCTCCTAAATCCCATAGTTAACCTTCTTCCACCTTTAACCTTCTTCCAGATCTAAATTGTCCCATTGCCCTATCACTCCTTTAAGTCGTTCGTCACTATTATTGCCTCCCTCCTTCCAATTATTCCTTGTATCCCATCACTCCCTGGTATTAAATAGAGCACAATTCTTGTAATTTAATTAATTGATCAAGGGTAATTAGGTAAAACTGAGTATTAATTGATTTAATGATTGTTAGTGATTGCTAACAAGCCTAATTGTATTGGGTACAACTTTTAGATTGAATACGGAAGTGTTTTGGCTACTTAGGCCTAAATTAAAAGAGTAATTTGGATCAAGCCTCTCTATGTCATCTGCCATGGTAGAGGCACCATGTGCCGTGGCAAATATTCAAAAATTTAAAATAGTCAATTTGTATTCGTGAACTATAGAAGAGAGAAGGGAAGAAAGGAATAGAAGGAGGGCAATAAGAGTAGCTTGAGTTCTACTAGGGTATCAATCGTTAAGAACTTTAAATGTGTGCTTGATTTCATCTAAGCAAGTCTTTTATATCCTTTCCCTTTTCCTCTACATGAATTTGGGTTTAGTTTTAGTGTTAGAAGATCAATATTTTATAATCTAGGTTATGGGTCTAAACCCGTTGGTCCTAATAGGATGAATAGGATTTTTTTAACATTTTAAACCTGGTTTTGAAGATTTTATAAGGTTATATGTTTGGGTCTAGGGTTTTTAGTAAACCCTAGCCACTTAAGTAAGAATTTAGTTTGTTAAGTGATATATTAATTGTTATTTAAACTATTAGGAGCTAAATAGAGTTAATAGGAGTCAATAAACTCATTAAATGTGAGATTGAGCTTGTAGTTGGGAGGTTTGGCATTTAAAGTGTGAATATAAGAGCTGGATATGGTGTTATGATGATCATTAGTAATAACAGTGGTTATTTTTAGATTAACCTTATGGCATGTTGTTTGAACTCAATTCTAGCTCAAGAAGCAATATAGTGTAATATTTGAGTTCTCAAAGGTTTGAGATAATTGGGAGAATTTTATTTTGTGCTAATTACTTATTATATTAATTATGATTGCTTGTGAACTCAAGAAATGTCTTTAGTAGCATAATGGACTTAGAATTAGGGTTCTAAAGTTTAATTTGTTGTTTTTGATACTTTTTGGAAAATAATGTGTGGGTTATTTTATATATATATATATTTAAGAATTTTGAATATGCTATGATATTGTATGCCATGTGATGCATTAGATATGTTTGCATGATCACATGTTAGGCGGGAGAGTGCCCTAGGAAGAGTTAGTTATTTATTTCCACATGAATATTTACCAATACCATGAGTAGCTCCAGTGATTAGTTTAGGATCGAATCTTCTTGAACCTCATTTAGAAATAGGTGTAAGCATATATGGCTTAGACCTCTAGCCCTTAACATCATTGTAGGCAAGGTGAGGTTTAAGGCTTGCGATACTCCAGTGAATTTGAGAACGGAATAATCCATGGTTTGAGAGTGAGTGTAGTGCCTTTGGCTAGGTAGCTCCTTATGATTGGTGTTCTTGTGCTAATCTGTTTGCACGAAATTAACTTTAGTAATTTGTTGGCCCAAAGATTTAGTCAGCAGCATATGTAGGGAGATAAGGAGTGGTTTGATCATACATATGTGATATCATGAGATTTAATATTGTGTTGTATATTGGATGATTTTAAATTGCCCTTTTTACAGCACTTAATTGATCTGATTTGTATGTACATGATTTAGAATTTCCTTAATTATTGAGTGATTGTACTCATCCCTA